AAAACTTGATAATGATAATTTTTGTTTTCCAAACAAATAATTTGGAAACAAAATATGGCTTTTTTGAAAATAAACTTCATAATAGTTTATTTAACTAATAATTACAGTAATTTTCTTTCAATTAGAAAAAAAATTTAATGTAGATTAAACTATCTTCAATGATTGGTTGAGTGTTTTTTTCTTTTTCTTCTTCTCTATCAATCATACACCAATTTAACATGTTTCATAATCCGGTAACATTAATTCTTCTAGAAAAAAAACAAAGCATTTTACCTGGTGAAGTCAAGATAGTCAACTAAATCAGTTATAACTTCACTCCATATTTACTCGTTATTAATTAAATAGCATTGTGCTTTTCAAATATTAATTAATGTTTTGTAAATTAACAATAGTTTTTAATATCTTCCAAAATAACTGCAAAATGTTGAAAAATCTCCAGGTTATTATACAAAGTTAATACTGAAGTTGGTTCTTGGGACTTTAAATTTATTTTCAATCATTATAAAAGGTACACACACAAAAGTGTTCAGATACTTTTCAGTCTTTTATCTTTGTCATTAATGTTAAAAATCACCTACCATTGCAACACAAAAAGAATTAGATGTAGGTAACCAAGTAACTCTAACTCTGTGAAGAGAGCATTACTTCTAATGTCACCATCATTCAGCTTTCTAACCATGCACAAAATGTTTATACATTGTAACATTAAAAGCAGTTTAAACCATAAAATGCAGGCATAAATATAATTTAGATTGATAGGTTCTAAATATAGAAGCAAAAAAAATTGAGACACCCCAATTTTGGCATGATCACCAAAATATGGGGGAAGTATGTAGTTCATGTTTGAAAACCATTTTTGAAATAGAAAATTATGGAATGAAACATGTTTATTAAATGGAAATTTCTTCAACCCCCTAAAATTGTATTAATCTTTTCCAAAAAAAATGTCAAAAACCACAAGAATGGCTGAAATTGCATTCCACCTTCAGCTACCACTCAGTTCATTGGGAGATTATATGATTGACACAGTATCCTCAACAACATCAGGTATGGAATTTGTATTTTATGACAAAGCTACTGAGTGTATGGGACTGGTCTGCTGCTAACCCTAATATTGAACTGCTGACCAGAGAGAAAGAATTCAGTCAGTAGCACCCTACAACTTATGCTAAAAAGTGACTGTCACTCTTATATTGTAACCACACCTTAAAGTGCAGGGAACAAACCTGACTTACTAGCTCCAAAATCCAGAGTTCTACCACAGGCCCAATCCATGCATGAGACATATGGAAGCTAATCTTGCAAGCCTGTGTTCCTTGTGGTTCTTAAGAACCACATTACTGATACTGTGTATCAAGAAAACCCTACTAGTCTTGCATCTGTGCAACACATTCAGTACCAGGCTAGCATAAGTAGGTCACTGGCTATTCTGCTGAATTCAGAGAGTACATCTTACTTGAAACATGGCTGGATTGAACAATTGCATGAGGACGGTCAACCCTCAGATGTTCTTGTAGTCGTGATATCTATTTCAGCTGGTAAACACCAAACATCAGTGACCACAAATAGAGTTGGGCAATCACTTAAAAGCATTGATCACATCAGTTAGTGTCATGTAAGATTATCAATTAATTGATATTACAATTAAATTGATTGATGTCACAAAAATAAGGAACTAATTGAAATTAATGTTTCCAATTATTACTATTTTTCATAAATCCAACTGTGCAAGTGATCACAATATTGGCATTATGATTTACCATATTATTTTCTTGAATATTCAAGTGTTCTGTTTTGGCCCAGTGATTAGGGTGGTTACCTCATGATTCAAGGTTTCAATTCACATTGCCACCAAATATGCTCACCCTTTCAGGTGAGGGAGTTTTCAATCATCTGGAAAGTAACTCTCTCACTATGAGGTTGGTCAAATTGACAGACCTCAAAATCAATTTTTTACTCATAGTTTCTGTACTATAACTTTTAATACACTTTATGATACTAACTGATTTTTTAATAAAGTAAAACCAAATCAAATTAATATAGCATTCAAATTTGCCAGTATCAGTCATTTTATTTAGCATCAAAAACAATGCAGACTTCGTAATGTGCAGTAACAAATAAATGTTATAAAGAGATGTTTTGGATAAGTATTTTGCCAATCTAACATACAATTTTCGATCTCTTCACTCTGGAATATCATTATGCAAAAAATAATGACTAATTTTATGCCTATGATAATCTTATTCTCCCCTATTTTTTACATGTGCAGTGGTACATGCTGTTAAGTTTACTGTCCCTTTATACAATGAAGATGCACTTAAGTATGCATGAGCTTGAATGCCTCAATATAATTGTGTTCCTATAAAATAGTAAACTCATTCCACAGAGAATGCATAACTAATACATTAACCTATTCCTAACAGTAATCTCATTAGTCAATCATGCTTAATATTTATGCTGATTTATGATGTTTACTTCAGTCAACAAAAATTAAGTAGTATCTTCATAAAAACTGGAAGGGAGAAATGCACAGAACAATATTAATTGTATTTTCAGCTTGATATAGTTTCATATTACATTGTGTACATAATACATTTTCATGTACAACAGTTTACGATTAAAAAAAAAAGGTACTTCATTATAATTTGTTTTACCTGAGGATGTCCATCATATTAAACAAAGAATTATTCAAAAATGTGTTTAAAAAAACCCAAAATAAACTGAAAATAGGAAGATTACTCTATGTGAGAATAATTGATTTGTTGAATGTAACTGATTAGCAAATTTCACTACTCGCTTAGCTCTAACCACAAACTTTCTGTAGATAATTGTGAAAAGACAAACCAACTTCAATCTTTTTTCTAAATTCACCATTTCTGGATGAAATGTTCAGATTCTATAATTTTTACACTGGGATATATCTTCAATTTGAAAAAGCACTGTATGACAGCTTCCATACTTTGTAAGAGAGCAGGAGCAGGCCAGTAGTTGTAATAACAAGAACTGACAATTCTCACAAAATCTAAATCATTATTTGAAGATGTGCATTTTTTCAGTAAAATTATAAACACACACTAATAGTACTGTTGCACTAAATGATTTATTATTTAATTAAGACTGACCTTACAACACTCCACAGAAGCTTGTTATAATGGAATTTGCAGTGTCAGGCAATAGTGCATAATCATCACAATAAATACAATTACAGTGGGGTAATTGTGCACTTTGAATATTTATGCAGAGTATCTGCACTAGCCACTCCTAATTTTGAACTGAAGGACTAGAAAGGAGGGAAATTGGCTAACAACAGAGTTCCAACTTTTAAACTACTTACTCTAATCAAGTAACAAGATTTGACTGTCACTCTAAATGTATCCATGACTCCAGAAAGCAGAGTGCAACTTTAAGGTTCCATGTTTCACATTTCATCACTATATAGTTACAGTTTAAGCATGTTAACCACTAGGACAGAGTGGTTTCCAGGGAAGTTCAAAATTTGTAATACTGTTCTTAGAGTTTGAATAACTTTGGTATTTAAAAACTAAAATAGATGATTATTTCAGATGGTGTTACAATAAGACTTTATATACAACAATTTAGCCTTTATACGTGCACTGCATGCTTTTGAGACTTTTAGTCTACTTTCAAGATAATTAAAATAAAATAGTAACTATGTTAAAACAAACACAGGTAATGGAGGAAATAACAAGTAACATAATTACCTGATTAAATCTGTCACGAATATCTTTAATACTTTCTCCTTTAGCACCAATAATGTTTCCATGGAATCTTTGTTCAATAAGCAACTCCTTTGTAGTTTCATTTTCCTGTAAAACACCATTTGTCACTGTTTTAAAATTGTTTTGTTGAAACTATATTAACAAGTCAGTTGTTAAGGTTTTGATATGGATTTTTAAAAACATGCAATGTTTACTTGTATTCAGAGTTAAAAAGACTAATGTAATTTTAGTGAATTATAAAGGGATATTTCTCCAACATTAAAACATGTTATGTACTTCCACAATTAGTTCAAAAATCTCAAACTTAAAGTGAGAAATTATTAATGAAGTCATAATATGAAAAATTAATGGATTGCAGCAAGCACATTACCTTACCAATAAGTGATAGAAACACATGTTCAGCCTAACTATCAAGATGCCTTTTTACTATTATTATTAATTATTAAAACCAATGAAAATAACATACAAACAAACTCAGTAATGTATCTTACTTGCAAGAAAATTTAACCTTCAATATTTCATTTCTTAGCTTCACACTGACCTAGCTTTAATTATGTGAAGGAATCAGTTGGTTTCTACTATCCCTGTTCTTCTGTAGGACAAGTAAGTACATCTGTACATTTTTAAGTTTAGAGGTCTTAAGCTTAAGATCAGTAATAGTGATGTTGTGATTAAGATATTAGATTATGCTGCTAAGTGTTATATTAAAAAGTCTGTTGTTAACCACAAAGCTACACAATGGTATATTTGTGCTCTGCTCACTGTGGGTATCAAAATGATTTTCAGCATTATAAACCCTCACTTACTATTGAGACAGTGTAATAAATATGAAAAGAAATTGGAATAAAATGTACAAACATTAATGCATTTAGATATAAAAAAAAATTCTCTGAGTGAATTTTTCACAAATCAAGAATTTATGAGGCTGTGTAATGATGTTTTACGCTTGTCCTATGACTTCAGTATTTTTGCAATTGCAATACATGGCAGAACTTTGCTAACCAATAAATACTTACCATATGGATTAAATGTTTAAATTTTTAGTATAAGAAATTACAAACATTTATTGTTACTTATTATAAATTTTAGTTAGAATGTCTAGGAGTTCTCATAAAAAAATATGCATCGACGGAACAAAACAACACACACACACACACACATATATATATATATACACACACACACACACACACACACACATTCTGATTTACCTTAAATTTGGGAAGTCACATGTGCAAGTACAAATATGGTTAACACAGCTTTGAAACATTACTGCAACAGTAAAAGTCATCATTAACATTCCCTCTCTTCTGATTTTGCTTTAACTCATATGTAGATCAGCTTGAGAAATACAAGGAATGCATATCACAAAAATACTAAAATATTTCACAAGAGACAAACACCACAGATATGACATGATAAATGGCTACGTTTAAGAAATGCAAATATTTAGTTGGATTAATTTTTACCTAATGAATATACCAAACATATTAGTTTATGTGGACAACTGTGCAGGCTAGAACATTAAATCCAGAAATAACTTTTTGTTCCTAAATTGTAAACTGCCAAATTATAGATTTTTTTTTTTTAATAAGTCATCAGGTTCTGTATTTACACTACAGGTTTAGTCAAATACTGGCACACTTTCCAGAAAACTACCCCTACATACAGCTTTTGTTTCTGTAAATGAAGTGGCATCCATAGCTCCTTACAAGAACCAACACTTGATACATGAAGCCTTAAATGTTTATACAGTTAGTTGCTGTATATTAATGCAGTTCAAATGACTCAAACCAGTGTGCATCTTATGTTTTCAGATTTTTAACAAGTAGTAATTATAGTGGTCATTTCTTGAATGTTTTAAAATTTATAAGCATTATGATAATTCTTTCAAGTTTTAAAAAAGTATACAGTGATTTTATCACCATACATTCACAACTTTTGGGATGTTCAAAAGGTTGACAAAAATCCATTTAATGAATTTCACAAAAAGTTATGAGGGCTACATGCACCAACCATCACTGACCACTACAAACTTGAGAACAATTAATCAAACAGTGGGATTTAACTGTCACTAATAACACACCTATAGCTCCAAATTGAAGAATGCAATTGTGTTAGTGTACAGGAATTAGTTTAAAAGTGTGTAGCCATTAATTTGACTTCAAGCACACACAAACAATTTTCTGAAGTGAAGTTAGACCATAGCATTTTAAAAAAACAATTGTGACTTTTAACTTGGCTTTGAAATGCAATATCAATTTAATTTCCTATCCAATTACACCCTTTTATAACTTTTGTAAACTATACAACTGACATAATAGAAAGCAGCTATGATACTGTAATATGTAATATGAATCATATATTAAAACCTATTATATTGGTCATGTATGTAATTTTTGAAATAAAGTAAAGCCGTGATAATATAGTTTAACAAGTTCACATGAAACACATTACCAAATAAGTTGTTACTCACGTTTTAAATATGAAACATTTAAAATGGAAATAAATTATTCAGTTGGAATAGTGTTCAACAGTTTATATACAAACATGTATTAACATATACATATTTACAAAAATAATGATTATAGTTATTCATAAACAAGTATTTTAGTTTTAATAAAGAATTAAAATGTGCAGTCAATTACAACTGTAACCATCATCAATAACCTTTACAAGTAGTAAATACAAAATACCTAGGTCATGGAGACCAATTCCATTTTTAACACAGCAACAAACCCTAATCATTATCATATTTAGGTCCAAGTTAAAGTTTAAAATTTAAGTGATTTAGTGTTATCAGTTCAGGAACATGCTAATCTTATTTCAACTATTCTTTAGATAGAGAAATTTAGCATGAAAAAAAATTTCAGTAGTGGCTTAATCACCCAATGGATTACATATTCCATTGTCTTGTTGGGCAGAATTGTAAGTTCTATTATCTTAAGTTCATGTACTCAAGAACTGTTATGCTAACCATTCACATACAATAAAAAAATATCAAACTATCTAAAACAACAAATTTTTGATAGATGTGATTGCTAAAACAATGCTGATAAAATATTACATACAAAATTGAAAAAACAAATGTGAGCCAAGCTATTAATGAAGATATCCACCCACTAGTATTTTGTTCACTGATCTGGTATTACACATTAGTTTTGTTTCCAAAAATATGAATAAACACCTTTCTATTAAAGTCCAGTATTTTACAATAAAAACATGAGAAGCATCACATTAACCATTGCTCTTACTGCTCCCTTTCACTTATTCCTCATAATTTTTTCCTTCAATAAGATCCACTAACCTCCAACATATCCTTATGGAAACCCCTTCTATATGTACAGCTAAAAAGTTGATTATTTAACAGAATTTATATTAAATTGTTTTTCAAAAATTAAAAATACCAAGTACATTACACATTGAAACCATAGTGTTATGTTACAACAAGGACAAGTTATACATACATGCCACAATAGTGTGCGTGCGTGCACATTTAGAGAATTGCAAACACATAGTGGAGAACAGCATCAAGAAATTAATGTAAGCATTTAGACAGAAGTACTCATTTAAACTAATAAATTTCAGTACTGACACACTATGCTTATAATCCTCTTTTCCTATGAAATAGTCTACTCTGTGTTTTCACTTAATGTTTCATAATGAGCTAATTCAATTTTGAAATAATATGGGAAAAGTGTTGTTCAAGAGACATCTCACATTACAAGCAAGTGCTCTGCTAAGTACTAGCACTTACTATTAAAGCACCCTAACAATTCAAACTACAACACTTTTTCCACATAAACAGGCCCATTCTTGGGCCTTATTTCAAAGCCATGGCACATGTACTAGCTGGGAATCACTTTAGTAAGCCATTTAGCATCTCCTGGGTTTAATATCAAACCCAAGATCTCTAGCAGGATGAATGCTCTACCAACTGAACTGAAAGGTTAATCTACTAGCTGTCAATATTAAGACAGTTTAATAACTCAAACTACTAGTGTCAAAATATAGCACTGTACATTTAATTCATATGAAGTGTTGTTATAAAGAATTTGAACATGCCTCGAGTATGCATTTTCAATAGTTATTTTAGATCATACTAAAGTAAAATCACTTAATTTGAACAAATAATCAAACAGTAAAACCCATGATGTGTGCTTTGAAATTCTAAGTTTCCAATTACACAATGCAAACAAATTGACATTTTCCTCCGCTAATCACACTATTTCCTATGTATAGGAAATTTCTTATTTCACTGTGTAATTATACTACTTAATACTGAGGTTCTTTGACAACTAAGTTTCATCCAAAAGCTGTAATGTATCTCCTAAAGGATATTATTAACTAATCTCAAACTAACACTAACTATTCAAAGTATTGGCAGTAAATTATAACACTTGAGATAAGTCTTAAATATGCATTACTGCAATCTGCAGGCAGAGGTAATTAATAAGTCTTGAAATTGTAACATTAATATATGCAATTATTTATCTTTAAAAAGGAATCTTTCTTCACTTTAACAAGATTTTTTTTCTACTAACCCAAACGATTTAATTTCACAATTACCAGAAATCTTTTTTAGTATTATTTCAACAAATTCTCTAAGTAGATTATTAAATATAGATAAAAACAGCTTTCTTATGTATTGGTATGTTAACAAACATTAGCTATATAGCAATTTAATTGTAACTATGTGTATATATACACTGATGTTTACTTAATTTTTGAACTCCTTCCACCATTTCTGGAAATTGACTAGAAACTTTAATATAGGCAAAAAAACAACAAATAATGCATCATAAAAATTTGGATTAAGAATTTTTGACCAAACATATTCATTTTAAAATTAATATCAATATGTTAGAAAAATATTTAAAAACCATCTAATTACAAACTTCTAATTCTTCCAATTGGTGCATTTAATTTACTTTAATTTACCAATGGTGCTGGGCCCCTAAATCAGCAATCAAGTGGTTTGGGTACTTTTGGGATTAGCTGCATAGATGGACATTGAAACCCATTGCAAGCATGGGCAATTAAATATTTATATATAAAACTTGAATTTTGGATTTTTAAGTTTGCCTCCTGATGTGGAGACCACAATGAATATTCAGGACTAAACACTTGCTGTACCGATTTAATTGAAAATTTACAAGAGATGTAAATGATCACTGAAAACAAGTTGCAGAGAACTGTTTGCTCACCTCTTTTCTGTTAACTTACATATTTACTGGCATTGTGTATATTGTGTTCATGGGTAACAAAATTATACTTAATCCAAATATTAATAATCTAACTGACTTCTGTTATATTTAATAAAAATATATCTGAACTTTATGAAATAAAAATATATTATTTATAAATAGACGTTGTATTAAAAGTAACCAAATTTTTTATACAACTTTTTCCTACTTATGATATAGGTGGTATTTATAACAAAGAAATTATGATCAATAGCAATACAAATATTAATATCCATGTTACAAACTGTGATTCGAGAATATTACAGTAGTCTTAAAATATTAGTTGTTATTTGTATATGTGCATGTATAATTAAACAGCAGACACTATAAAATATAAATGTAATTTTCATTAAATACAACTCTACCTTTAAACTATTCTTGTTCACATCTCATGACCCTAAAAAATAAACAAGGTGGCCGTTTCTCTTCTTACCATTTTATGAACCATATCCAGAAGTTCCTGTTTGACCTGTGCCACACCAGCAGGATTTCCTTCAATTCTGATAACGTTGCTGTGCTCAGTATCAGATGGAATGTGAATCATAGCATTAGTTTCCTGTTTCAGTCGATTTACTATAAGTGAAAGAGTACAACAATTAAGACCTTTCAAAATGAAAAACTAGGATAGCCAAAAGTAACAAAACAATGTTTAGGGAGAAAAAGGAACCTATTGGTCTATCTCAACTGTCACTATTATAAATTAAAAACCTCAAAGCTAGCTCTTACCATTTATATAGTTATCAAATATTCTCTTAAACTCACTTAAATTTACTGCCTCCACAACATCTAAAGGCAATATCCCAGAGGCCAACTACCCTGTTAAAAATATAAAGGTGTCTTAGATGAAGATGACTCCTACCTTGCAAAAATTTATGTGTCCCCCAGTCCTACTATTCTCACCCTTAAGTACAAAAAAAAGATGATGTATCAACACTATAAATTCCCTTTACAATCTTTAACATTTCAATCAGATCCCCTCTGACTTCTTTTTTCAGGAGAATACAGTTTCAAAGATCTTAATCTCTCCTCATGTGACAACCTTTCCATCCCAGGCCCCATTCTATTAACCCTCCTCTGAACCCTTTTCAACAATACAATCTCCTTTTTAGGGTAAGAAGCCCAAGACTGAACACAATACTCCAAATGTGGTCTAATCAGTGACCTATACAAGGAAATTATAACCTCTTTATACTTTTATTCAATATTTCTATACATACAACCTAAAATCCTATTTGCTCTACCACTAGCAACAGCACACTGCTTGGATGGCTTAAGAGACTGATAAATCATTACACCAATATCTCTTTCTTTCATGACACTGTTAAGGTTATTTCCATCCACACTATACTTAAGATTCAAATTATGATAACAACATGTATTTATCTTGCATTTACTATAATTAAAACCCATCTGCCATTTATTTGCCCAACTCACTAAATGATCTAAATTCTCTTGTAAAGCAGTAGCATCCTCACAGCTAGTAACACCAAAGACCTTAATATCATCAGCAAATACAAGTAATTTATTGACCATTCCTTCATCTATGTCACCGATATAAATCAAAAAGAGCAAAGGTCCAAAGACCGAGTCCCTGGGCACCCAACTTCAGACATTAATCCAATCTGACTGAACTCCATTTATAACAGCCGTCTGCCTGCTTTCTTACATCCAGCCATTTTTCTATCCAATTAGCTAACTTATATCCACACCTATACAGATAATTTTTTTACACTCCTTTTACATAGCACTTTGTCAAATACTTTCTGAAAATCCAGATACCAAATCTACACACTTACCCTCATCTCCTTAGTGAAACCATGTTGACTATCCAGTAAAATTTGTAACTTAGTTAAATGACTTTGCAAAGCATCTTTTATCAGACTTTCAAAAAGTTTTCCCACAACTGATGCAAAACTAATAGCCTATAATTGCTGGGATATATAATTTTTTTTAGTAACCTCCCTTGAAAAGAGGAATAACATTAGCTAACTTCCAATCCTTTGGCACCTGCCCACTATTCAAAGACTTATAATAATAATAATAATAATATATATGAAAGAGGTGTAGTATTTAATGATGAAATTGACAATTAATGGTTATTGGACCATTTTTTTGTAATAAACATACAAACATAAGCATGTTTTGCACATAGAAAATATTATGGCGGGAGACACTCAGATTATCTTGCTATCAATTCAGTATTTCCAAAAACAGTTTTATTTAAATAGTGCTAAGTGGTTTCATAAGTGATTTAGTAACTTTGTGAATTGCAAATATAATTTTTCACCGTGCAATGTCAAGTAACCCAGCTAGTAATAAAATAAAATAAAAAGTAGCAAGTGGCTTACATATCCAGTCCTAATAATATTTATGATACACAAAGTCACCATGGCAGTACCACAATTGTCTTTGATGATGCTGGAAATTGGAGACAAACCATATGCTAGTTCTTTATTTTAACCCTCTAAATAAAGGCTTGGCTTTTCTGTGCATTAAAATGTTTCACAGTTACATTCAAAAATGTAACTAAACAACTTTATTATCAATTACTGTCAAAATTAGCAGAGTATAGTTTATAGTTAAATTTCTTTTTTTATATATTATCTAAGTTTTAATTCACTAACTTCTAACAAAAATATTAAAAAAACCTGACCTTCATTTCAGTTAGCATGCTTGTTCTAAATTTTACCCTTTGTGTAACTTTAACATTATAGCAACAAACTATAAACAATTCCAAGGTTAAATGTGCTAAATTCTCCTTGTATTGTGAAATAAATTCTCAACCAATGACAGAAGACCCACTTAACTTAAGGTAGTTTTCAAAACCAAGTGTTCTTAGTTGACATACATATATAACCAATAAGAAGAGCTCACTTTAAGATTCAAGTCTTCAGTGGTCTTTTTGAAATTGGTGCCAACAGACATTAGAAAAGTAGAGGATAATATTAGATATGAGGAAGTATATGAATCGATGCTCATATCATTTAAATTATACTTTTCAATATACTATTTTAGGGATCATGTATATTTTTTAAAATGCATATTTGAAAGGAAAATAATTTATGTATACAAGATTTAAATACAAAAAAATTAGGCTTAGATAACTGAGTGCATGAGTCAAAAGCTGTAAGCATGCACATACAAGTGTGTGAAAATCAGCTAATGTGACGTGTGAAGAAAAATTAATATCCTACATGGCAATAAAACTAAAATTAAAATACATGTGAAAAGGTAAACAGTTAATAAGTTAAAAACATGGCAACAAATAATTCAGAGAAAAAAGGTACTGCTAATTCTTTACAATTTTCAAAACCTCGTATCACCATATATTGATGATTTAGCTAAAGTTAGTGTTATGGTAGAGAAAATAACAGATATGATATAAACTTTTACCTTATAAAAAACACTTGATATTCACTTAGGACATTCTAGAGATTAAGGAAATGTAATATGAAAACTGTAAGGTAAAAAGAAGTATTTTTATTCTTAGAATAAAAATTCCCTTCCATCCAAATTGACTCGGTAAAGACTTTGGAAATTCACAGACAATATTTTTTACTATAAAAATACTTTATTACAAAATTGTAATACTGTAAGTATATAAATATATTATAGTACATAAATTCATCTTAATTTTCATGATTGAATAAAATGACAGACTCATGCTTAGAGAGATAAGACAATTTATATTTAGTTAAGTAAAATTCAATATATGCATGCAAATTAAAGATGTAGAACATCTTGCTAGTCAAATACCCAATCCTGGCTTTTAATAATCTGATTTTCTTTAACATTTACACACATCCCTAATTGTCAACTAGTTTCTAATAATTTCAAACTAGTGTGTGTGTGTGTGTGTGTGTGTGTGTGTGTGTGTGTGTGTGTGTGTGTGTGTGTGTGTGTGTGTGTGTGTGTGTAGTATATATACGTAGTTA